GGGGGGGGGGGGGGGGGGGGGGCAAATCAAACAAGAGACAAAATCAAAATCAAAATGAAAAAAATGTGTCATACATTATGATATTCGCTTAAAATTTATTTATTTATTTAGTATAAGTATAATATACATGTGATATTTATTTACATAATATATTATAAATTCATAACGGATTGGATTATTATAAATTCATATCTGAATTCGTTTAAAACAACTCTAATCAGATTCAAATCGGATCGAATTAATGGATTGAAAATGTGATCCATTTTCACTTAAGCGGATTTGATTCGAATCGAATTCGGGTTAAAATCCGATCTAATGACAGACTTATCTATGTTTAAACTTGAAAATTCACGAAGAAAAATTTCTCATTACTTGGTTTTAAGTGATTTATTATGTTTCGAACTAAAGACGTCTAAAACTAAAAATGTTTAACTTATAAAATTATAATTATGGTTAAAATTGATCTAAATTATATATATTTTAACTTAATAATATAAAATTCATCTTAAATTTTTTTAAAAAAATATTATTTTTTCTATACGACCTTCAATGTTTGTATCAAAAGATTGGTACTTAATTCTTCGAGCGTCGGAGTTTAATCAATGGGCCTGACCATGCAGAACCATGAACTCTGATAGGGCAAAAATCTGTTGGGCCTACCAGATCTCTGCTGATAAAGATTAAATTGTTTTCTGAAGTATCGACCTTGGCCCAATCTTATACGGTTGACATGAAGGCCCTCTTCCTTCTAAGTTTTTAATTTTTTTATTTTTGGAAGGTAAAAATATTCTATTAATTAAAAAAAAAAAACTATTATATACAAGCATTGGGTGACACTCTTACAAAATACAATAGGTGTTACTTGTTGTATAACTTGTAGAATCAGAACAAAAACAAAAACACATTAACTATTAAAGGGTTGTTGAATTCAGAAGAAAGTGAAGGCCTTGAACTAAAACTTCTGGCTGAATCATTTTTTTTTTATATAAATAAATATATATATATATTTATTTATTTATTTATTTTTGAGAGAGGGAGAAATAGAGCTTGAACCCTTGACCTCAAGAAGACAAAATCTTCACAAGGTAAGGAGTACTATTAGACCAAAGGCCCATTAATCTGGCTGAATCATTCGGTCATATATTTATTCCACACTTACCCTTTTTCATAAAAATGTCAATTAAACTTTTGTTCATAATTTTTTAATCAAATTTAATTTATTATAAAAGATTTCAGAACGATGACTGGTTTAGAGACGGAGCTACCCTTGTGTTTTATATAGCCTCTGGGACTATATAGTGGTTGTTGGAGGATTTTTATAAATTAAAGAGACTTCCCTTACTTGGCCCTCAACCAAAGAGGGTATAGAACACTTTTTTATTCATATCTAATTAGAAAAGCAACATGCTACCCTTTTTCCATTCATTGCATAAAAAAAATGTCCTTGGTGAATGAAAAGGCAATAAAAAAATATCATTTTCCAATTTCTTACCATTCTTCTTTCACNGAGCCTTCAAAATAGATTAACCAAACCATTCAACATAGTCTCTATATAGGCAAGGTTTATCTTCCAAAGGGTATCAATATTCAAGTTTCTCCCCCAGCAAGTTTCCTTAGTTTAGTGAACCACCCTTAGCAAACTCCACCAACCGTTTGTGATCTTGAACAATATTTTGGAGAACAGAAACAGAAGATTTTTTCTTCTCTTAAGATTTCGAAAATTCAAATTCAGATTCATAGCGAATTTCATATGTTCGTTTCTAATTTTTGATTGATCTGATCTTTGAAACTCTCTCCAGAGACCTCTGTTTATGGTTTTGCTGTGCTGTGTGGTGGTCACAATGGCTGAAAAGAAAGAAATAGTTGAGGAAAAGAAGGAAAAAATTGAAGTGATTAGTGCTGTTTACAAAGCTAATCTACATTGTCCACAATGTGCTCATGATATCCGAAAGCCTCTCCTTAGAACCCCAGGTGCTGTTTTATTTATGTGCTCTCTCTCTCTCTCTCTCTCTCTGAGTGTGTATTACAATATAGTTTAATTTCCGATAAAAACCATGAAACAATATCAAATGGTGGACGCAGAGCACAACAGAAACAGAAATCGGAGGCGTGGAATTACCTTTCAAAAATTTGCATATATGCATATATTTGAAATACTAAGTATAAGTCATAAGGTTGATAAACTCATTTTATTAATTAAACTTATTGGAGAATCGGATTTATGTCAAAACTGTATTTTGATGCTATCCAGGGGTTCAGAGCGTGGACGTCAAATTTGAAAAAGGTGAAATTACAGTCAAAGGTGCCATCGATGCGAAGAAAATCCATGGACAATTAGAGAAATGGAGTAAGAAAAAGGTTGAGCTATTATCCCAGGCCAAGTTTAAGGAAGCAGAAAAGAAGGAGACCAAAAAGGTAAGTGTCGTTGAATGAAAAAAAACCTCTAGGCAACATGACTGCAAGAATTCTATGAGGATTAAAATTAACTAGTGGGGATTGTTAGCTTATCGAAGCTGGTAGAGCTTGGCTCATATTCAAGACAACTTTAGCTCGTTCAAGCTTAGTTATAACCAAGCCACATCTCACCAATGAGCAATTGGCCCATAGACTTGAACTCAATTTGTTCGAAATGTAATATCTATACAAAATTCATGATAATAAATATAATGCTTTTTAGCTTAAGAGATATATTAGGCATCTAGTACAAATGTTAATCAACCCAAGCTGAAAACGAGCAGATGATTCAAAAATGGAGCCAAATTTATCCATGAATATTAACTAGGGCCTAGACTAAGCATCCCAGAGCTTAAAGGCTCAGCGTGGTTAGCTCGACTAACATCCCCAAAACAAGTCCAGGATATTGGTATATCCTCGAGTAGAATTCTTTTACACCATAAAGAAAAATCATATGAACACTTCATGTATTTTTTCTAGTTCATCCTAGAAATATCTAATCAACTCTATTCTTTCTTCATCTATTTAGAAGTAAACTTGATTAATTATCAATGTCGACACGAATTGTGCTAATGGATTCTTAAATTTGACTGATTGTTTCATGAAAATTTACAGTCCAACTAGATTTTATGTCTGATATACATAACAGATTCACAATGCATAAAATGTTCTCGATCATCATGTTTATGCCTGCGTTACTGCATACATCTCTCTCTGTGTGTGTGTTTGTGAGCGTGTACAAGCGTCCTTAATTGTAGTTGAAACACTAGCATGCATATTGATTAGTTGCACCCCCTTTACAACAGAATTCACATATAGTTAGGCAATTGAAACCCTGATGATCATGTTTGAATTTGAAGGAAACTGTGAAGACAACAGTTATAAAGGTCTACATGCATTGTGACCAATGTGAGCGTGACCTGCGAAATAAATTATTACGACACAAAGGTAATAAATTTGTACGGAAACAAATTGTCCAACCATAAAAAGCAAGTAGATGGGAACCACTCAAAACATTTGCAAAACGGAAAAAAAGGGTTAACCTCCGTTTTCTGCCTTGTAGATGTTCAAGTGATCGTCTTCTACTTGCTTTTTCTTGTGTACGATTTTTTTCTACACAATAAGTAATTAATCCTGTCTAATTTTCCAATTTTGTTTGTTTATGCAAATGCTTTTGACAAATGCAGGTATTCACAATGTAAAAACAGACAAAAAAGCTCAAACAATTACAATTGAAGGAATCATTGAATCTGAGAAACTCTTAACATACATGCAAAAGAGGGTACACAAACATGCAGTCATTATACCTCCGAAAGAGAAGAAAGAAGAGAAGAAAGAAGAAAAGAAAGAAGAGAAGAAAGAAGAAAAGAAAGAAGAGAAGAAAGATGAGAAGAAAGGCGAGAAGAAAGAGGAAACAAAAGAAAAAGTTACGGTGGAAGTGAAGACCAAAGAAACCACAGAAGTCATAGAATTTGAAAAAGAGAAGAAAGTGGAGGTGAAAACTGATGGACATGCTCCATATTTCATTCACTATGTCTATGCTCCTCAGTTATTTAGTGATGAGAATCCAAACGCTTGTTCAATAATGTAGATGATTAGGACATTAAAGATCATATGGTTTATATATGATTGCCTTCCAACAAATTTGTTGATACAACTTTACTACAATATAAGGTGGCTATGTTCATTCAACATTTGTAACTTTATAAACCTCAGTATGGCTTATTAAAGCATAGAAGAAAGCTATGTTCTATTAATATAAGATTGCTTTATTTTTGCAAACGTTGGATGCACATTGCTAACCACACTCGTCGAGAAGACCCAGGTTTTACAGTCAAGGAGACTGGAGCCCAAGACATACGAGTTTATGCAATGTAATGCAGCTTTCTAAACCTTAACTATATCTATTCAAACCATATTTCCAAAGATTGTCTATGAAATTCATGTGTTAGAGCATAGACCATAATTCAAGTTACTGGATATTTGGGGTTACCATTCCTTACTATAGTTGGATCAAGTGAGATGGACAATTATAATTAGGAAGGGAAGCAATGGTGACATTTAGGGTGGGTTATCTCATGTTTAGTAAACAAATGGAGTAAAGATTAAGTTGCCAAAGTCGCACCTACAAAGGTTGCTGGATTACCCATTGCTAATGAATTGTGCTTACTGCCTAGTTGGGACAGTAAAAGCAGATTTGTTAAACAGTTAACGTGCTCAGAATGGTTTTTTTTTTATTTTTCTTGATTAAGAATATCATATGCATGAGATGACAAACAAATGCATGTCGAAACAATATATATATAGCATACAAGAGATTACGTAATTTCACTTGAAAACGTAAATTAGGAAGAAGTGCATTGATAAAAGTATATTCTGAATGTTGAAGACTACAAAGAGTTCCAGGAATGAAATTTATTGAGGTTAGATTTCCAGACACTGCTTACCCAAAAAGATTTGTCAACTGATTGTTCAATTATACATTAGATACTTTCCAGGTGAACTTCTTTTATATATAGGTGGCTATAAAGATGGCATGATTTAGATTTTCTTTCGCTAAACATTAGGGAATAAAAGGTACCATTTTAGAGATAACTATAACATCAAATGATGTATTCGTATTACAAATTTATAAGCATTTTAAGAGTTATAGACTCGATTCATGTACAAAGATCAACAAAGCAATTAAAGTCCAAATGATCTGAAGACAAAATGGAATGTATTCATTGTTTACATGACTGACAATCAATGCGAATTTTGCTATAATTAGCACTTCAAATTTTTATTCATAATTCACAATTGCACGTACTTGATCCAAATTCTTGTGCTTGCAGATAGTGGTGCCATTATACAGCTGAAAACTAAAACGAGAAATTTTCGTATATTAATCCTTATAACTATTCCTGATGATTAACTCTACTGCTTATGTATCAGCAAGTTTTATTACATGTTATGCACAAGAATCAATCCTATGAAAACACTAGAAAAAAACGATGAATAGTCAAACCATCACCATGCCCGTGATTACATTTTCTTACTTGTCCACTTCATATTCTAGTTGTTCAGTAGGTAAGCCATACAGGAATAAGGCCTCTTTTCTCCATGAAAATTTAGTTAAATTAACAAGAAATTGCAGTTTTGAGACTTCATCATTGGAACAATACAAGAAAGAGAGGGTGTTGGTCTTACAATCAATTGTCTTATCAAAGTTGGCTAATCCACTTGGGGGGTGTATCTGAATCTTGTAAAACATTCCTTTCTTAGCTGTCTAATTATCAGTAATTGCTAAAAAGCACACAACATAATAAACAATTACATGTGAAAAGGATACAGTAGAAGTGTTAATAGAACAATTTTCATAACTATAAAAAATAATTAAACTGAATAATGGAGAGAAAAGCACACAAAGAAGCAAAAGGAAACATTGCTTCTATATCTGCTCCATTGAGTACCCAATATGGTTTATTTTAAGAAATCACTTGGTTAAATTGCTTCTCTTAAAAATGGCTAATATATCTCTCCACTTTTTAATCATGTACCAACTCATTTAGGGATCAAATGTAGCTAACAGTGATCTAAAAATTCTCATTATTGGAAGCGCGAAAAGCTTCGAAAACTTGATTATTTCTCCTGCTAATTATATAGGGACTAGTCTTGAATGCAGTCAATTAACAATAAAGGTAGGATAGCATTAGATGGGATTATCAATGAACATATACTTTATATCTACCTACCATTGGAGAAGCTTATTCTATTATCAGCAAATTATGCAGATTATTTGTTTTACCTGTAAAAAATGTTAAGATATGGATTATAAAGGCCAATATTCTCTTATATTTTGAGAGAGAGAAAGGGGGGGGCATATATAATTATCCATAACCCGCGAGAACATTTAGATATACGAGTCATCTTTACCTAATATTCTATCAGACCACAAGATCACAAAGGATTTATTTTTTTGGGAGAGACCCTTAATTGGTATCTTTTTTTTGTATGTTTTTATGATGAGAGAAGATAAATAAACCGTTTATTTTAGAGTGCACACAAACTCTAGCATAGATGTTGCAGACAGTAGTATATATGGTGTTGAATAACTAGTTTTAAAGAGGAAAGCCCTAAAGTTTTATAATGAAATTAAGCAGATTAAAAAACCATGTATTTTAATCTGACCATTAACTTTATCATATATTTGCAAACATGTTTGTATTGTTTTTCTGCAAGTTGGTTAAAAGTAATGACCATAGAGTTGTGTCTTGAAAGCTAAAACTCAAATCATTTCTATTGAAAAAGTACTCGAGTTCCTTCCACAAAGAACAAGAAGAAGAAGAAGAAAAGAATTTTCACAGATCAAAAGAAAAAGCCAAATCAACAAAACAATAATCTGATCAATTGATCATACAACATGACGATGAAGATGATAATAATCTGTTAATTCTCTAACCTTTGTGCCCTAATATGGAGGTCGACTGGTTGAGTTGCTCATCCAAGTTCCATCTATTGGTAGCTGATTATTGGGCATGTTCAATGGAAAATTGAAAAATGGGAGCCCCAGAGATGGGTCAGGAAAAGGGTTTCCGTCACCACCGCCGCCACCGTTAGAGGGTTGTGACACCGGTGGCTGAATCTGAAGTGGTGGCTCATCTTCATCCAAAGGCAACCTCTCATAAGCAACGTTGGTGAATAAAGCTGCGATAACAATAACTGGCCCAGATGCAATCAAAGCACCCACAACATTCCCACCCACCACCTGACCTTGTCCTCCGGCCAAATATATCGCCAGACTGGTGGCGCCCGGAGGCGCAGGCGGTGGCAGAAACGAGCCCGATAGTGATAATATCTCGAACCGGCCATGCAGCGTCAAAATTGAACCGGCAGCCGCCGGCTGCCTCAAGCTCACGTTGGTTACTGTTCCACTCCCACTCAGTACGCAAATCCCTCTTTGCCTCTTTCTGGCATAGGTTGCTACAGATTCAAACACATCGCAGCCATTGCTAACCTCAAGAATATGTGCTCGGAGTGTGTTCGCGCTCTCTCGGGTTATGATCACCGGCGGTTTAGGCTTGTTCTTCGAACCGGCGGGTCTTCCTCTCGGCCGGCGGGTAACAAGATCTCCGGAACTGGAGTTGGGTGTGACCAGTTCAAGGTTTTTATGGGTGTTTTCATCATCGTCGTTGTCTCCGGTGAAGTGGTTTTGATTGTTTTCATCGTCGGAGTCCGGTGGTCTTTGGAGGTGGAGGTCAGGCCTCTGGAACTGAGAAGAAAAGCGAGAAGCTGAGCCTAAGTCTAAATCCATAAACAACAACGAAAGAGAACAGAAACAGAGAAATTAAAGTATGATTAATTTGGCAAATTAGAAAAAAAGGCGATTATTTTATGGGTTTTAAAGGAATGGTAGCACAAAGATTTAAACCCTAGACCGAATAGAAAACAAAAGGAATCAAGCTCAGAAGAAAGGGAGGGGGTGAGGAAGGAGAGAGGAGAGTGGAGAGAGGAGAGAGAGACGCAGTTCTTACAACTATAAGCAAATTTTAAGATGGTGTATTTTTTAATTAGTTATCTGTATTTAACAAAACAAAAAAGCATTAGAATATAGAGGACAGAAAATGCAACACAAAAGGTGATTGAGTTGAGGGTAGAGAGGGAGGCTGTATACATGTTTATATGTGCCAATCTGCTTTTTATGTTAATTAAATTAAATATGTCATGGTAATAGCATATAAAATAAAATAGGGATAATTGTATTTTTAATCTATAAATTCACGCCACCCTTATCGTGTAATAGTGTCCGACCAAAAAAAATAATAATTTTAATATAAAAACTTGATGAAAAATATCACGTCTTATTATTTTAGTATAATGATTAAAAGTTTATTACTTAAAATTGTTGTTATTGAATTGATACTACATTGAAAGATAAAGGTAGAATTTGACAATAAAATTAAAGATCAAAGTGGAATGTAGGAAAATTTAAGGGGTAAAACTAAAAAGTATAGTAAGAGTGGAAGGGTTGGTGTGAGGTATGGTAGGCTTAATCTTACAAGCGACAACACTAATGATTCTGTTCATTATACAGTCAATGCTTGTACAGTTCACCTCAACAAATAGCCAATTTCTTCAATCAAAATAATTGCTTGCACGGCCAATAACGGCTATATTATATTCTTATTGTGGAAAAGGCAGTTTATAAAAAAATATTAATAGAGCTATTTCATTGTGTGAATTTTCAAAATCCTAAAATAGTTATATTCACTTGAAGATATGTATTTTATAAACCTCTCCAACTTGACATCACTTTTGTCTTTCAATCAATTCTCAAGGAAGAAGATTTGGTAAAATTAATCATCGGCATGTGGACTCTAAGTACATATGTGCATTGAAAATCTAAAATCATAACATACACTTCACTTAATAATGTTAGACGGGTCTAAAACACCACAATCTACCTCTTTTAGGGTCACCAGTCATTGTGCAACATCCGTCTCATAGTTTCGATGATTTTCTTGTCTTGTATCATTTTGAGAAGTGTTTTAATCTTTATCATTTATAGTAGATGTTTGTTGCTATAGTTTGCCTAAAAACGTGAGATTTTCAACCAAACCATCTAACCCGTAGATTTTGTTTTTTGTTTTTGCATTTTGTTTTATATTTTTTATGATCTTGTGCATAACATTTAGTATATGTTCATACTATCAATATCAAAACATACAATATATAAAGGGTTTTGAAAATTTGCTTTTGTTAGTTTTATATTCTCATGATTTCACGAGGTAATTAACATTGAAATATATATATATATCATGTTTGTCGTTACACTTTGCCTATGAACGTNAACTTGACATCACTTTTGTCTTTCAATCAATTCTCAAGGAAGAAGATTTGGTAAAATTAATCATCGGCATGTGGACTCTAAGTACATATGTGCATTGAAAATCTAAAATCATAACATACACTTCACTTAATAATGTTAGACGGGTCTAAAACACCACAATCTACCTCTTTTAGGGTCACCAGTCATTGTGCAACATCCGTCTCATAGTTTCGATGATTTTCTTGTCTTGTATCATTTTGAGAAGTGTTTTAATCTTTATCATTTATAGTAGATGTTTGTTGCTATAGTTTGCCTAAAAACGTGAGATTTTCAACCAAACCATCTAACCCGTAGATTTTGTTTTTTGTTTTTGCATTTTGTTTTATATTTTTTATGATCTTGTGCATAACATTTAGTATATGTTCATACTATCAATATCAAAACATACAATATATAAAGGGTTTTGAAAATTTGCTTTTGTTAGTTTTATATTCTCATGATTTCACGAGGTAATTAACATTGAAATATATATATATATCATGTTTGTCGTTACACTTTGCCTATGAACGTGAGATTTTAATTAAGGCAAACCACCTACCTTGCGGATTTTTTTTCTTTCAATTTGTCCTATATTTTTAATGATCTCGTGCATATCATTTAGTATGTTCATTCTATCAATATCAAACAACAAACATACTATATATAAAGGGTTTTGAAAATTTGTGTGTGTTTTACATTCTAAGGGTTTCGTGAGTTCATTGACAAGGCATTGACCCAAAACATTGAAAAATATATATATTCCTGGCGAAATGAATTAATTTATTGTTTTATATGTTTCCATGTAGCCATGGGTAAAACGAGGGGACAAGCAGGCATGGGCTGTGGTCAGCCGCCTGCCCCGCCATCTTCTCATTGAAAATCACATGCTTACATGTGTGTGTTTGTTGGTATATATATTGGCTCAACTGATTGAAGAAAATGGTATATTTTATCTTTGATCGGGCCGATTATGGTTTCAAATTTGATATTGTATTCAAAGTTATTACCATATAAAGTTGGAAGAATCAAAAAAGAAATTCGATCCAAAAATGCAACGATGACAATCATATGAAATGATGACTACTCTGGAAGCCCAAAAATGAATGTAGTGTGTGCCCCGCTTTTCGTTTAGAGCTCCTTGTTGGACCTGTTTTCTTTTTTTATTTGCCCCAAACGGAGAAGGGATTGTGGTAGGACGAGCAACCCTTGTTGTGTCCAGAGAGCTCAAAGAAAAACACGATTGGCCTGCAACATCCGTTGATAATGGTTATGGGGTTCCGCAAGGCAACTTGGATTATTCTACCACTAAGAACCTACCCTGGTTTTCTCAACTCACCACTGCGAGCTTACTTGTTTGGAATTTTCAATCGTCAATCAAAGCTCCATTCGAGACATGTAGTTGTAAAATAGTTTCTTTTTTATTATCAAGTTAGTTAAAAAGTTAAGAATGAGAGATCTGATTATTATGTTGAAGTTAAAAAGTACAGGTGTGTTTGGACTATCATCCTCACTTCCTCCAAAATTTTATAGTGTGGCTCTTAATAAGTGATTCCTATTGTTTGAAAAGAAATTCACCCTACTGTATCTTGTCCTTTTGTATCGATAGAATCATTTTACCTTCCAAAAAAAAAAAAACAAAAAAGTACAGGTGTGCAAGTCATCAAATTAAGGTTTCTATCTGCATTTACTTCATACCACGATGTGTTACGAAATTCTCCCATATCATAATAACCAATGTTACAACTTAATCTATTGGCTTTACAACAAAACCAGATTTTTTAAAATCAATTCTAACATTCTCGTACTTTAACCACAGTGAGTCATAACATCATTGAATTGAATTGCAATCTCATTTTTTTCCCATAATAACTATGTTTGATACCATAAAGTACCGTACTCTATCCTTTAATTCTACCTTGTAGAGTTTTAATCCATCCAAATTTTTTTGTGATCGAATAAAAGACGAGACGACTTAACTTGCATGTCTTGATCCCAAGTCCGATAAGTTTTAGGTTAACTAATTCGATCGTGTGGTTTACTTGTCCTTAAAATGTGTTCAAGTTTTGTCATGATTGTAATAAATACATGTTGAGAACAATTGCCATTGTCTTAGAAAAGGAAAAGAAAACTCACAGCACTTAAAATCAGTGAATATTTGACTCTTTTGAAGGACACAAATTCTTCCACTCTCACAAGGATCTCTTAATTATCCCGATGTGCATAATTTATTAGTGATTACTTGAGGTAAAATTAATCGATCTTAAGAATATTGTGACAAGATTTTGCTTATTTTAGTTGAGATGCTTGAGATAAAAGAGAATAAAAGCTTGAGTTGATTAACTCTATCGATTTATAAAGAAATATCATTACCACAGCCGATAATGAAATGAACGATAACGGTTGCTAAAAGCAATTTTTCTATTGAACAATGCTATGCATACTAGATGTTACGTTGTCATAGAGGTCATGTTGATATTAGTAACCTAACCCCTGGGGTTGGTTCAGGGGCGGAGCCAGAAAATTGTTCCAAGGTGGGCATTGTATATTTTAACAAGCTTAATTTTTTTTCTTGCATTTGAAANGAGCCAGAAAATTGTTCCAAGGTGGGCATTGTATATTTTAACAAGCTTAATTTTTTTCTTGCATTTGATAAAAATAGAATAATGCATTTATATTTAATTATATCCTATTTAATTCTTAAAATTTCATTAAACTTAAAAGACTAAAATTGTTAAGCAAAGTAGATACAAATAACCAAAAAAAAAAAAAAAATAGACTAATTATATCCTTTTACCAAACAAAGGCTAATCAAAATTATTTAGAATTGACTCCGATAAATTTTCATACGTTGAAAGTCNTTAAAAAGTACAGGTGTGTTTGGACTATCATCCTCACTTCCTCCAAAATTTTATAGTTTGGCTCTTAATAAGTGATTCCTATTGTTTGAAAAGGAATTCACCCTACTGTATCTTGTCCATTTGTATCGATAGAATCATTTTACCTTCCAAAAAAAAAAACAAAAAAGTACAGGTGTGCAAGTCATCGAATTAAGGTTTCTATCTGCATTTACTTCATACCACGATGTGTTAGGNCTTGCAATAATTTTATTATTATTTATATTTACAATCATATTATCACTTAGTTATTTATCATTCATTCGATTACACAATAAAATGTATTCTCTATTATGTCGGTGATAATTACTAAAATAAAATGTCAAAATTATAAGTAAACTCATGGATATATCATGTATTTTCTGGTTTTGGCTAAAAAATATGATGGACATAATTTAATATATTAAAAAAATACTTAAAATATTTAATAACTAGTAATTGTCCGTGCCTGAAGGCACGGGATAATGAAAAGTTAAATTAATCCATGTCTAAAAACACTTTGCTAACTCAAAAATCCGTCAGTTAAAATAAATTTTCCTTCATTTGCTTTAATTAAAGAAATTGATATCAATCAAACCTCTACTACTTTTTCAAAAAAATATCGGCAAAGTTTCCTCTATAGATAAGAACCTAAGATAATCTCAACCTGTCTATAGAGGTTATATATCTCATTGTATGTATCATTGTCGAATACAAACGGATGATGCACAAAAATGGTTTTGCACACCACCTGTCAAGTATAGATAATAAATGCAATGAAATCAACGAAAAAATTAGAGAAGACACAATTTATAGTGGTTCGGTCAATTCGACCTACGTCCACTCTTCAATGGCTTCAGTCGCCGGGTATTTTATTGATTCAAAGGTATGGAGAATGAAGATACAAGCTTTGAGAGGGGGAATGGAGAATCAAAGAAAATAATAATCTCCGGTAGTCGGTTCGTCTTCTGTAAGTTTCTGATGGAGCATGTGTCCCTTTCTCTCCCAGATTAGAGCCATTTTATAGTAGATAAGAGATCATTCTTGTGGAGATCATGACATATCCTCAAGGCTTCTTTATCGCAGCTTAGAGATTATCTTTGGTGGAGATCACGACTTATCCTCAAGGCTTCTTTATCGCAACTTAGAGATTATCTTTGGTGGAGATCACGACTTATCCTCAACGGAAGGAAAAGGTTGGGGAGCTCTTCATGAAACGTGGTCAAAGATTGGACCGTTTCCTTCCTTCGGTGGTGCGGATAAGCTTCCCGTGCTCACTTCTTGGTGACGTGCTAAGCAAGAAGTCTAACCGGCCTTGGGCTCCTTAAGGCGGTGCAGATAAACTTCCCGTGCTCTCCTCTTGGTGACGTGTTAAGCAAGAACTCTAACCGGCCTTGGGCTCTTTTCGGTGGTGCGGATAAGCTTCCCGTGCTCACTTCTTGGTGACGTGCTAAGCAAGAAGTCTAACCGGCCTTGGGCTCCTTAAGGCGGTGCAGATAAACTTCCCGTGCTCTCCTCTTGGTGACGTGTTAAGCAAGAACTCTAACCGGCCTTGGGCTCTTTTCGGTGGTGCGGATAAGCTTCCCGTGCTCACTTCTTGGTGACGTGCTAAGCAAGAAGTCTAACCGGCCTTGGGCTCCTTAAGGCGGTGCAGATAAACTTCCCGTGCTCTCCTCTTGGTGACGTGTTAAGCAAGAACTCTAACCGGCCTTGGGCTCTNAAAAAATACTTAAAATATTTAATAA